AAGAGAGAGAGAGAGAGAGAGAGAGAGAGGGAGAGAACGAGAGAGAGAGAGAGAAAGGCCAACCTTCTTATCACTGTATAAAATAAATACTTTGGTTTGCATGTACAAAAATCCATGTCACCGTACTATTTTTTAATAATTTAATAAATATTATGTTTCTCTTTCTTTCATAAGTATAGTTACAACCCTAGTTCAATATGGCTGCTGAACATTGTCTTTGCTGTTTATGCTTAAAAAAAACAACCTCGTTCAACATCTTGTCTCTGTTGCAAGTGTTATGTTATAGCCCTTGCTCGGCATGTTCCACTACACCACTTCTAGTTCAACCTTGTCTCACTTGCAAGTACTACAGCCATAGAGTTCAAATCTTTAGTTAACCCTATCCGTACGTCGTGTTTTACTATCGTATCCATACGACGTGGGGGAACTCTGTGTCACCACTTCCCAAAGAGGAAATTTACTCGTTAATCCGATCCGTACGCTTTCCATAGCAGTCTGTCAAAACGATTTTTTGAGAAATACTGAATAGTTTCAAAGAGATATTCGCTCTAGAAGTATTTTAAAATCTGAAGAATACAACCCCGAGGGTACAAAGTGCCCCCAGGGCGTGCGCATAGGATTAAACAGTGTTTTTGTTGCAAATACTACATCCCAAGTTCAACATTCTTTCTCTAATTCGACATAGTCTCTCTAGGTCAACATTCTCTCTTGCAAGTACTACAGCATAGATAGTTCAACATTGTCTCTCTTGCAGTACTACCCTCCTGTTTCAATTTCCTGTTGTATATCACGACAGCGCTAGTTCAGCATTTTAAAAATAATTCAACATTGTCCCTCTAGCAAGCACTTCAACTCCCCTTGTTTAACATTGACTCTCTTGTATAATATAATACAGAAACCCTAGCGCCCCAAGCTACACGCCTATCTCACTATTGTCTCTCTTGCAAGTACTGCAGCCCTGGTTCAACACTGTTTCTCTAATTCAACGTAGTCTCTATAGCTCAACATTCTCTCTAGAAAGCACTACATCACTGACAGTTCAAAATTGTCTCTCTCGCAATACTACACTCCTCGTTCAGTGTATCAACTCTAGTATACCACAACACCCCTACAAGTAGTTCAACATTTTTATTCTAGTTCAACAGTGTCCCTCTAGAAAGTACTTCAACACACCTTGTTCTATATTGACCCTCTTGTATTGTATACATTACTATAGAAGCCCTAGTGTAGTTTTAACATCATTTTGCCCCTAGCTACACGCGAAGCTCAGTATTGTCTCTCTTGCAAGTACTACATTACCCTTACTCACCATCGGCTCTATCGTACTCATCCACTACAACACTACAACACTACAACACTTCTGTTGAGGAACTCTCCGTTAGCTCAATTGGTCGCTTTTAAGGACAAGTGGGCTAGCCCAGATTTCGGGAGTATCCAGAAATCTTGACCTACACCAAAAACTGGCATTACCCTACCTTTAGGAGAAGTTTGGTTTCATCGGTGTGTACATATTTGTTCGGTTATAGAGACAACTCTCCTTGTCTTCTAAAGAAATTGAACAAGGGGCAAAAACTTTACCTTCAATTATCTGAAAACATCATATTTTCGGGATAGTCCCCTTGTGCTTAAAAGCGTCCAATTGGTATCATGCTCGACTTACAAAACGGATGACCCTGGTTCGAATCCCAGATTTGGCGTTCTTGAACTCGTGGGTCGTTTTGTGAAGTTTTTAAGGCCCTCAATCCCTCTACCTCGGTCCTATCAGATCCTATCGGAGACGGACCTTGAACTCGGAGCTCCGGTCTCTTAAATAACCTAATTTTACTCTACCTCCACGCAGTATGCACTGTGCCTAATTTGACTCTATCAACATCATCGGCAGTTCAATGTTCTCTCTTCTCTCGGAATTGCACTTCGTAATGTCTCAATTCACTGGCGATCTGGCTCGAGGACCAATTATTGTAAGGCAGCGTGGTGAAATCAGGCGCTCGTCACAAAAATGATATTGAAGAAACTGGCACTTTTCAGAAAGTTCGGTAATTTTTATCGAATTTTTTGTTGCTTTGGTTTAACACCATTGTTGTCCAATCAAGAACATTTTGTTTCTGAGTGGATTTTTACTGAAAAACGTTGATTAAAGGCACAACAAATGTAAGTTTTCAGTTTCCACGGACTAGCAAGCAACGGAAATAATTAAACTTTGGCGGCCATTTTCTCGCAAATTTTAACTTTGAAACCAGGCGACCCCCTCTTCTTCAATCTAAAATATCTCAAATTTTATTCCAGATAGACGGGGTATTTTTTTTTCCCTTGATAGCAAGACAACTGAGAAAGCTTTAAGTGGATGCCAATGGTTCCACAGGCTAAAAAAACTGACGAGCGCCTGATTCCACTACGTTGCGACCAATTTCAGTCCGGCCAGCGAGTTGATCAAGTTATCAATAATGCATGCGGCTCCCGGCGAGTTGGTAATTAATAAAACAAAACTTTCTACCTTGAAAATTAAAGAGTAATTTCCAGCCCAGCCGGAGGTAAAATAGATCTAATAATATTATTTTTTACTTCATGAAATGCTCTTGAGTATATTATTACGCTATTTTATATAGTGTCAGTTTAAATCTCACTTTCAAGGGTTTGCGTATCTTAAATTAACCGATTTTACCCAAGCTTCACCTAATTGGGCCAGCAAGATGTTCGGAATCGGTTATTGCGATCTGCGAGATATTTGGACTCGGTTATTCCGTATCCCCTCAAAAAACAAAAAACAAACAAAACAGAAACAAAAACAAAATCGGAAACGGTTATTCCGACATGTGAGATATTCGGAATCGGTTAATCCGGTCTGCGATTTGGACATGCCTGTCCATACCTGCTCTCATCAAATCTTAGCTGACGTTACATTGTTATCGCATCCTGAGCTAAGCGACAGCCTCATGGGTCTGCAATGTCACACGGCGTATAAAGACATCTCGTCACTACGCTTGCAAAATGGCACAAATCATTTTTTGCTACTTTTGAGACAATTGAAAGCACCCCCCCCCCAAAAAAAAAAAACAAAAAAAAAAAACTTTTTAGATAGACTACTTATTATCTGATAATGAGAAAACTTGCCATGCATATTTCTTTTGTGACTGTCATCGTATTGTTTTGTTTTGGTTTTGATTTGACCAAAAAAATTATATTATTATTATTATTATTATTATTATTATTATTATTATTATTATTATTATTATTATTATTATTATTATTATTATTATTATTATTATTATTATTATTATTATTATATAACACATATCAATCTATCTATCTATCTATCTATCTATCTATTTATCTATCTATCTATCTATCTATCTATCTATCTATCTATCTATCTATCTATCTATCTATCTATCTATCTATCTATCTATCTATCTATCGTACCACCAAACAAAATAAATGGCCAGTTGCATTTCGGCACAACTCAGAGTTCAGCCATTTTTGCTGCATGTACAGCAATGACGATCTGCTCTTTGGGCGCTTTTTATCGGCGTTTTTACAGTGTACAGTAGAACCTGCTCTAACGGACATCTGCCAAGGAAAATCGACTTAATAAACGGCCACTTTCCACCCCCCCCCCCACCTCTCCGCCACTCTTGATTTAATTTAACACATATCTCTCATACGACCGAGCCAAAGGAGTTGTGAGCCTGTCTTGAAAACTCTGCCCAAACGTCCAAATCCAATAATCGATATTTAAAGCTTCTCCAGAAATTTAGGAGAAATCCCAAACTGTAGTGCGGTCAAAAATATGTTTCGCAACTTATTGTCAAATATCTCCTCAACTATCGGACATACGCTCTCCAGCTTTTTTCGCAGTGACTTGTATCAATACAACCAGTCTGGGATTCAAACCAGGGATATCTACTACTCTATAGTCCAGCATGATAACGGATTACTCCCAGGATAATGGAGTTTGAGTACACCCTTATCCAATCGTGATTGAGCTTGGTGCAGAAGGACATCCCTTATCGCGTCATTATCTTTCGTCCAATGCTAAGCTACCTTAGAATTATAAAGATCTATCTGACATTTTTGGACGTTTTGAGTTACTTAATAGGACCACAAGATGTCCGAAACCAAATGTTTTCTACTGTTTAAAAAAAAAATTGAATGAGTAGGTGTTTTACGGCACTATAGACTCAATGTTGGTCATGTTCTACTGCCCTACCAAATAAAAAGCAAATTTATTCGGAGTTGCTATCAAGATATTCAAAGAATTGCATTCGAAAAAGCGTAACCACGTTGTGAAACTCCAACAAAATTTACGTCAAATTTCTCAAAAACAAGGTGCTGAGCAGATAGAACTTTTTGTAATTCTGAGGTAGCGCGACAGCAGACTAGACTGCTGACCGCCGAGGTTTTTCATTTATTGTGCTTGTATGGAGTGCTATCTCGTCGTTATCTCGTCGGGTGCCCAGTGTTGGTTCACATGCTGTTCATTAACTGTCCCAAGTCCATCCGATCTAACAGAGACGGGGCATGTTCTATCTCTCCGCCTGTCTGAAAGCCCAGCTAATCATAACACAATACCCCCCTCCCCCCTACTTCTCAATTCGCCAGACAGTAAAGTTCGATCTCGACAGCCAACTGCTCAGATGTACCACGACCACAAATTAGAATTCATTGATATTTAATTTTGCAGTTTCTTACTTAATCAGTGGTGTGAGTTGCATAATACGTTCGAGAAATATTTTTCCGAAATTCTTAAATATTCCAAATTTTGTTTTAAAGAAGCAGAAAAACATAAATCATGTTAATTTAGGTACATAAAAAAAGAAGGAAACAATTATTTTCCCTCATGGAAGAGTTAAACTGTCAGCCGACGATCTGCTTGAAAGCACTTCATCTTCAAACAACAGAATACCCTCCGGTGCGGTTCTACGGACTGAAGTGTCTTTAGGCCATTCCCAGAGGAAGGGGGGACATTAACATGTTCTTATGTACAGTAGAATTGTAAACGGGCTGATTCATCAATGCCATGCTCATAACTATGCCTGAACTGCAACGGGGAACTGCTGCTTTTTCGTTCCTAATCGTAATTTTCCTCTACTTCTTTTGTATGTTTGTCACACTCTTGGGACTCGCTATTTCCGGGGTGCATTGATAGTTGAAGCAGACTTTGTGCTGTTCAGGCTAAAGAGGTATGCAGAATAAGCCTGATTCCCTGTAAGGAATTCTCTGTTGACATCCACCCCTTGGCGCTCATTTGACCTTAATTATGCCGTTTCGAGCACCATAAAAAACCTCTACTAAAAAAACAACAACATTATTTCATCTTCAAACGACAGAAGTGTTGGAAACCATGAGGACCCGTTTATCTACATCTGGACCGAACGTAGAAATTACGACATTAAAAATCTGGGTAGTTTTTTTTCTTCATTAAATATGTATGCCCATCGAAAGGAAATTTTGACCCCCCTCCCTTTTTTTTTTCCTTAAAAAAAATAAATATTTTAAAAACCCAACCAGCACCCCCCCCCCACCCCGATTCAGTGACTTTGCATTTCATATTTTGGATCCTGTGATAAAAAAAAATAAATTCTATTGGTCAAAGATTCTTTCACTTCTCCTAGAATCTTTTTATTCAGAACTAGATCTAGGCTAAGATCCCGTAGTTGAGATACTAGATCTATATATCTATTGGTCTGAGATTCGTGATTTCTATTTGTAAGATAGAAATCCTGTTTTCGGAGGTGAATAGAGCAAAATCAAAACAAAACAATAAACATGACTCGAAACTTCCCGGACAAACGAGTAAAGAGAACTGGAAATTATTTCTATTTGTCTAAGATTATTTCTCTACACTTAGCTAGATTCTTTGCATTTTAAGATCAAGACTCCCTTAGTTGAGACACTAGTTGTATTGGTCAACGATTCTTTCATTTATGTAATTACTTTGCATATCAAAGTTAAATCCCATGAAAAAATAATTATACTATTATTTCTATTCGTTAAAGATTCTTGAGTTTTATGAGCACGATGGAAATCTTCCCTAAGCCGTGCCTCCCCCCCCCCCCCCCCCTCTCGAAAATTTCTGGACCTAGGCGTGAAGAGAACTACGCTGGCAAAGTATAGAGTGTGACAGTTGGTTGACCTTCCAATAGTAAAGTTGGGTTTTGTTTTCTTTTCTTTATGTTTGGTTTGTTGTTGTTGTTGTTGTTGTTGCTACTGCTGCTGTTGTTGCTGTTGTTGTTGTTGTTGTTGTTGTTGTTGTTGTTGTTGTTGTTGTTGTCGAGATTGTTGTTGTTATTGTTGCTGTTGTTGCTGTTGTTGTATATGTTGATGAAGATATTGATGTTGTTATATTTTGTTCTTAGGTTATTGAGGGTTTTGTTGTTGGGTTTTTTTTATTGTGGTAAAGTGGAGCTGTGTGTTTTTATAAAAAGCTTACAAAGCAATAGCAATGCTCTAGCATGAAAATTTAAAAATGAACGTGTTTTAATAAGCAAAAAAAAAAGGCAACTGTTTGTGATTGCAGAAATAAAAACTACTTGAGCCGAAGGACCTGAAATATTAGGCTATAATATACATGAATGTATATTTTTTCACATGGCAAAGGTAAACGCACCACTATGGCAGGAGAAGAAAATGCAAGCATATAAGGGTGAACTGTTATACTTCAGCTTCTAACACCCCTTAAAGCAATTTATAGAAAAATAAGAAGAGAAACTAAATGAAAGTCCCAAACCAATTCCATATTATTTTTCTTCATGCGTCAAAGGAAGATGACGAAGAAGAACGATAGATTAAAATAATGTCCCAGATCAACAATAAATAAGTGGGTGGTTGGCGGGTGCTCTGGTGTGGTTTGCTCCTTCTTTTCTCTAGTAAACATCTATCGTCCTTATTTATCTCTCCTTCTTCTTTTTGTGTTTGCTGCTCTCCGGTAACACCTCTGCTCTATTTTCGGCACTTTTATGACCTTATTGTGCTGCAAGGGCCTCTGGAGTGTCTTTAGATCATTCCCAAAGAGGGGACATTTCTCGTTCTAATGCACAGTAGAATTGTAAACGGGCTGATCCAACAATGCCATGCTCTTAACTGTATCTGAACTACAACAGGGAACTGCTGCTTTTTCTTTCCTAATCTTACTATCGTCATTTTTCCTCTACTTCTTTTATATGTTTGTCACACTCTTGTGACCCGCTATTTCCGGGGTGCTTTGATAGTCGAAGCAGACCTTGTGCTGTTGAGGCTAGAGAGGTGAGCAGAGTAAGTCTGATTCCCTGTAAGGACTTCTCTGTTGACATCCACCCCTTGGCGCTCATATGACCTTATGCAGTTGCGAGCGCCGTAAAACATCTACTAAAACTGAACTAAAAGATTCTCTAGTAGTTAATGCAACAGTCATTTATTATTTGTCTACTATAGAGTTCGCAAGACCAGGGTCCCGATCCCAATGACGTAGGCTCATATAGCAACACAAGGTCAACGTCTAATCAAAACTATCCCCTGGGTGTTTGTTTGTTTCTTTTGTTTGTTTGTTTGAGTAAAGAGGTGCACATCGACAAAATTATGGTCACTTAAGCTTAGGAGGAAAGTAAAACAGATAGATAGAAACAATAGAGGGATTAATTTTTTAAAAGTAGGACCAACCGGTGTCGCCCTCCACTCACCCACCCACCGACTTACTCCTCCTGTATCTGAAGGGAATCTAAGAAAACTTCTTGTCTAAGATGTCGTGCTCTGGTGTGATTTGCTCCCTCTTTCCTGTCAAACATCTGTCGTCCTTATCTCCCCTTCTTATTTTTTAAATGTTTGTTACTCTCTTGTAACACATCTGATCCTCGCACATGTATGGCTTTATTGTCTTACAAGTGCCGTAAAACTCTTACTATCAATTATTAAACAATAAGATGTGCATTTGTTAGCTAGGTGTGCAGGTCTACTTGGGTGAGAAAAGATCAGTGCACGCTCTACTGTAGGCCTACAGAGAAAATGTGAGACAGCGTGGTGGAATCAGGCTCTCGTCAAAATAATCAAAGTGAAGAAACTCGCATTTTTCTTCAGGTTTGTGTTTTTTAAATCAAATTTTTGTTTTTTTTGGCTCAACACCTTTCATGCCCATTAAAGAACTCATTTCCGTGTGGGTTTTTCTTAAAAATGTTGATTAAAGGCGCAAAAAATGTAAATTTTTAGTTACCGCGGACTCTTAAGCTAAGGAAATAACTAATCTTTGGCGGCCATTTTCTCACTAATTTTACCTCTGAAAACAGGTGACCCCCATCTCCTTCATTCGCAAACATCTCGACTTGTATTCAAGATAAATGGATATTTGTTTCATCCAAATAAAGACAAGTGAACACATTTAAGATGATACCAATAACTCTACATGCCCAAAAATTGACGAGAGCCTGATTCCACCACGCTGCCTCACAAATGTGTTATGACGCGGTGGAATCAGACGCTCGTCAATTTTTGGGCAAGTGGAGCTAAGGTATCACCTGAAAGCTGATTTATTTTTCTTACTTCCAATTGTAACTAAATATCCATTTACCTTGAATAGAACTCAAGATATATTCGATTGAAGGAAAAGAGGTCGCCTGGTTTCAGCGATGAAATTAGCGAGGAAATGGCGGCCAAAGTTTGATGTGTAGCTTCAATAGCTAAAGAGTCTTTGAAAACACAAAAATTACTTATTTTGTGTCTTTAATTGCAATATTTTCCAGTAAAATTCACATGGAAATGTGTTTATCTATGGACACAAAAGATGTTAAGCCGATTTCGTTATTTTGATACAAAAGAGGTTATGCTAATTTCGTTATTTTGACGAGCGCCTAATTTCCCCACGCAGCCTCACAAATGAAAAAATAGGGAGAAGGAAAGAGATGTCGTGCGAGATAATTTACTTTAGTGCTTCTAAAACTTCTCCAAAAGACATCTTCCATCCATCATCACCCCTCCCTCCCCCCTCTTTGCCCACCAAGAAAAGGGGTGCAACCCCGACGTCCTGTATATCTCCCCTTCTTCACTTTTTTGTTTGTTACTCTCTTGCAACACCTCTAATCTTCTGGCGCTCATAATAATATTATGACCTTATGCAGAGTTGCCAGCTCGGCAAAAACCCCTACTAAAACTACACACAACCACCACGAACTCACCATCCTGAAGTCCAGAGTGATGGGCTGGTACCTGGGCCCTTTGTGATCGAGGCTACGCCCCCCGCCTGCCTCTCGGCGACCCCCGAGGCCAAGGTCGATGCTGAAGGTCGACTTGGAGACCAGGAAGAAGTTGATGTACAGGAGCACGCATGCGCAGACCGCCGAGATCTGGAGGGTCTTCTTCAGGCGGAATCTCATGTCATCAAAATGGCGGGCCCGGAGAGAGAGTCCGGGCTGGGGACAGAAACGAACCATGTTAATGATGATAATGATAATAACGATAATAAAGATAATAATGATAATAAAGATAATAATGATAACAATGATAATAAAGATAACAATGATAATAAAGATAATAATGATAATAATGAAGATAATGATAGTGATGAGAACAATGATAATAATGGTAATAAAGATAATAATGATAATAATGATAATAATGATAATAATGATAATAATAATAATAATGATAATAATATGTTGGAGCATAGGTCATCGATCAGAATTCTCCATGTACAGTCAAGCATGAATATCTCGAAATAGTCGGGGATTAAAATATTAATAACAATAACAAAAAATAATAACAACAACAATATTTGTGTTTCTGTTTTGAGTACGATTGTTTGAAAGTGCCATAACAATGTCATCGCTTTTGGTCTACTGTTGGACATATCAATACTCGGAATTACAAGGTCAAGTTCTTCTTAACATTTTAGACCGTTTTGAGTTACTGTTTAGTTTTAGTAGAGGTTTTACGGCGCTCGCAACTGCTTAAGGTCGTATGAGCGCTAGAAGATTAGAGGATTTACAAGACGGTAACCAATATAAAAAAAGAAAGAGGGAAGATAAGGACAATAGAT